AAAGATAATACCATGTCATGGCAGCTTTCAATTAGCTGCTGATTCTTTGCTAACTGAGCCACCTTTCTGGAAGAAAAATGAATATGAAACATACAAAGTATTGTAAGTGCTGACCAGAGGATGTTTGCTATCTGAGATCCATACAAATAAAGCCCAAAACCGAATGAGAGTCACTCACTCCTCCAGATAAGAAGAAAATGTGACGGATGAACTAGATTTCGGCAGTAGCATCAGAGTTTCTAAAAATGCAGCTGTGGTGAGATAAGAAACATTTGTCTCTCCTCACGTAGAATACAAGAAGATCAGACCAGTAGAGCTCAGATGATCTATAGCTACTACTGCAATCTCTTAAAAACACAATTTGGAAAATACTCTGAAATAGGGACAATCAGATTGTGGCCCTTCAGCTGTTGCTGAAGTAAAATTCCTAGATGCGAAAAAAATAGGCGGGAGATCCTTCCACCATCTCTGCAGTCCTCTATGTGTCTTCCTATCGGCTCTGCCTCAGCCCCAGATTTTCAGCTATACCTCACCAAGATTGGTAGCCCTTTTTTCTTCCTTTTCATCAGCTCCCACACCTCAACTGCTTTTTCCTAGTCCATGAGTTCTTTATAGTGTAGTTCAATGTTTTTTTTTTAAAAAAAAAATCCTGTGATTTCTTTAAAGGTTTCACACCCTCATGTCCCTCCTAAAAGTTTTTTCATGGTCCTTGCTCCCAATTTGAGAGCTTCTGCTCTCTTAGAAAGGTATACCCATTAGAAAGGATCACCCATTGTCTCCTAAGCAGGCTTCACTTACCCATATGATTCAGGAGGAACTGGTAAAGGCAGCTAATGGCGTCTCTGGCTTGATAGCTCACTTCTTCCACTGAATCTGTGATACAAACTGCAAATTGTGCTACCTGGTGTCCCAAACCAGGTAGTGCCCCAGATTTCTAGGAAGGAAGGAAGGAAGGAAGGAAAAGAAAAGAAGTCTTCTCTTTATGATTTGTATTAGCTCTTCATTTCATTAAAAAAAAACCTCTCCTTGAAGTGATCTACAGCTAAGGAAGGACCTCTGCAGTGTGAAGTGGTCCCCTAATTTCTGGAATGAGAAACTATCCAAGGATACATTATGAGTCACGATGGTGCAGTGGATAGAATGCAGTACTGCAGGCTACTTCTGCTGACTGCCAGCTGTCTGCAATTTGGCAGTTCAAATCTCACCAGGCTCAAGGTTGACTCAGTCTTCCATCTTTCTGAGGTGGATAAAATGAGGACCAGACTGTTGGGGGCAATGTGCTGACTCTGTAACCACTTCGAGAGGGCTATAAAGCACTATAAAGCGGTATATAAGTCAAGTGTTATTGCTATTGCTATTGCTATTTTGGAAGGGATGACGGATGTAAGACCTAAATAGCCAGAAATCCACCTTACCCCCCGCCCCCACTGACATCTTGAAAAAAAGTAAAAACTCTCGAGATCTTGTGCAATAGTGCCGACATCTTGCAAGCTTTCACTGCGCTTGTGCATGATTGTGCAAATCCAACTGAAAACATTGATTCCCTTCAAGAGTGGCAGTGCAAAGCAATTCACTACTCAACCTGAAAGAGAAATCTAGTTTAAGGAAGAGAGTCAGATTTGTATAGTACAGGTGTTGTTGGTTTAGAAACCAGGAAAGAGTTCTAGTCCCACCTTAGGCATGAAAACCAACTGGTGACTTTCGGCAGTCACTCTCTGTCAGCCTAACCCACTTCATGAAGTTGCTATGGAGAAACGAGGGGACAGGAATATTAGGTATGCCTCCAATAATAATAAAAAATATTTCAAAATAATTATTCAGTTGGGAATATCATTTCACTTCAGAGGATAATTAGGACTGCAGAAAAAGCAATTACTACCAATCTGTCTTCCACTGAGGATCTGTATACTGCACAAGTCAAAAAGAGGGCTGTGAAAATATTTATAGACCCTTCACATCCTGGACATAAACTGTTTCAACTCTTACCCTCAAAACGATGCTATAAAGCACTGCACATCAGAACAACTAGACACAAGAACAGTTTTTTTCTGAAAGCCATCACTCTGCTAAACAAACAATTCCCTCAACACTGTTCAACTATTACAAAGTCTGCATTACTATTACTGTTAACCTTCTCATCACTCCTTATCACCCATCCCCTCCCACTTGTGACTGTATGACTGTAACTTTATATCTTGTATCCTCACGATTTATATTGATTGTTTCCTAGTATAATTGGGACAGCTCCGAAACGGAAGAGAACAGAAAGAGAGAGTGTGCCGGTTTGGTGAGAACTTTTTCTTTATTCTAATATCTGAAAGGACACCCTAAGGAAAAGAAAGAATCTGTAAAAGTTTTGACAGAAGTGAATAAGCAGCGATTTTAAACAGGAATGTCAAAGTAAAGTTTTTTTCTCATTGCTGGATTTTCTATACATGATCTTATATTTTGAAACTGGACTGGTTTTTTTCTTTTCCATCTATTTTTTTTCTCCTTTTTGATTTTGTAACATTTTAGGCTAGAGACTCCCTTTTAGTTATTTCTTCTTTTAAAATATCTTTTTCTTTTTCTTGTTTAATTCTTATTACATTTTGCTTGGAAAAGGAGGGGGAAAGTGAAAGCAAAGACACTTTGCAACACTGCCAACCAGAGGCTTGGAAATATTCTACTTCTCTTGTGACCAGACAAAGTTGAGAAAGAAAGAACTGAGACTTTTTTTCAAGGACATTGCCTGCTTGATAAGATAGAGGGAAGAGCATGGGAGAGTATTATTGCAGGTGCTCTTCTGGGTTTCTATCAACAGCTGGAGTCTGGTGTTGAAGTTTATAGAAAAAGAAAAGGTGATAAGTTTCTGGAGAAGAGTGTTATAACAAGAGCCTTGGATAACTAAACAAAGTGCAGTGTGTTTTCTTGATTTTTCCTAAACTGTGCTACCCCTCCTCAACAGTTTACTTTTTGAAATAGCTATTTGGATTTTTAGTTCTTTGGAACTTGTCTTTGCTTTTTTTTATGCTTGTCTTTGGAAGTTAAATTTTTACGTTTGCTTTTTATTTTAAAAGAAAAGTTTTAGTATTAATGATGCCCTTCCTTTTCTTTTTAAGGGAGTAGCCTTTTTTTCTTTTTCTCTTTTTGCCTTTCTGGTACTTTTGTTTTTCCATCTACCTCCAATACTGGTTTTTTCTTTCTTTTTATCTTCCTGGCTTTTTCCCCCTTTTTCTTTTATGCAGCCTTTTATATCTGAGACCTCTTAATTGGATTAAGGTGTTGAAGAATCTGAAGATTTTTTCCTTTTTTTAAAGCTTTTTATTCCTCACTTTTCTGTCTTTTTTAGGATTTAACAACTTTTTCTCTTTTGTGTATGTTTATGGTTTTTTCCTTCATTTTTGAATTTTCATTGTTAACTAGCTAATCGATTGGATTAAGGTATATAAGAACCTGAAGAAATTCTTTTTTCTTTTTTTATTATTATTACTATTTGGCTTCTTTTTCCCTACTATTTTTATTTGGAATCACAATTGGTTACTTCACAATTGGATTAAGGTCTAGAAGAATCTGAAGATTTTGAATTGTTTCAAATGAGTAGGAAATTAACAGCTCCTGGTTCTTCAACTTCTACTTCCTCCTCTCTACCATCTGGAGGACAACGTTCAATACAGACAATGTTAAGGCAAGAGGAAGAACAAGAACAAGAACAAGAAAAAGTGACCATGCAGATGATTATGCAAGGAATTCAAAACATTCAAACAAGATCAGAGAATATTGAAAAGAGAATAGAGAACATCGAACAAAGAACAGAGAACATTGAACAAAAAACAGGGAAAACTGATGAAAAAGTCAAGAACATTCAACAAATGATGATGAAGTATGAGAGACTACTAAAAATTGAAGAAGATAAACAAAGAGACAAGAAGATTGGAGACATTGATACCAGATTAACTGTGGTTGAACAAGATAAAAGTGGTATGCTGAGATGGGAGATGGACAGATCAGAATTTTATCTCAGATTCCAAAACATAGAGGAAGAAAAGGGACAAAACCTAGCTGAGATAATGATAGAAATATTGGCTGAAGCTTTGGAAATAACTGAAGAGAAGATGATGGATGGAATAGATGAAGTTTATCGAGTCTCCACAAGATATGCGATGAGAAATAGCCTACCAAGAGAAGTTCACATCGGATTTACAAAGAAAGCCATTAAAACGCAAATATTGCAAGTGGCAAGAGAGAAAACATTGAAATATAAAGATAAGGAGATTGTGGTTTTGAAACAAGTACCTAGAAGAGTGAGAGAGATGAGAAGAGAATACCAATTCTTGACCAAATTGCTACTTAAAAAAGAGGTGAATTATAGATGGCTGATTCGAGAAGGTTTAATGTTCACATGGCAAGAATAGAGATTCAGAATTGATTCAATTGAGAAAGCTGAATCATTTTATACAAAATTTTTCAGAGGGAAAGAGGAAGAGGCAGAAAAAGAAATTTCACTAATTGAATTCCAAGAGGACTGCCAAATGACGACTGAAAAAGAGGAAGGTGCAGTAGGTGGAAAGGAGGAAGCCAAAGAACAACGTGAACCAAGATCCACGAGAGCTGCCAAACCTAATTATAAAATATAACCATGGAAGAGAAAAAATTGATTACAATTAATATAAATGGACTTAATTCAGCTGTTAAAAGAAGGAAAACTTTCCATAAATTAGAGAAATTAAAATTTTGATATAATCTGCCTACAAGAAGTACATATTAAAAAGCAATGTGAACAATTGTTGATACAGCCAAAACTAACACTTTGGAATACTACGAGGCACATCCTGAAAATCAAATGGCTTTGATATTTCTAGATGCACAGAAGGCATTTGATAATGGTGTTGTGAATCAATAAAAGTGAATAACCTAAATGCAAATTAGGGGTTGAAAACCTGCACACATCATTGGTCCTTATACAACAACTTGGGATTGGGCCAGAACCAGTCCCTGATTGGCCACTTTTGGGACTGTCCTTATTGGTCAGTAGTTTGAACCTGTTGCACATTTTCATTGGTTAATTAGGCAGCAGCTAACCCTATAAAAGGGTTACTGCTGCCCATAGCGTTGCTCTGTTATGTTCTATTACTTTATTAAAGAGTTGAAGTCACTGGTCAGATGTCTGGTCTCCGTTATTCTCCATACTTAACACTGGCGACGAAGGTGGGATCCGGAGACCGAAGAGCTGACTAACCTACAGAGCAACTAACAGAGCACGTGGTCGAACACGCACCATCAACGGCAACATGGCCAGCGGTGCCGTACCACCCGCTCCATTCAACCCAGAAACCGAAGACTGGGAGGCCTACATGGATCGGTTCCAGATGTTTTTGGAAACCAACAATTTGAAAGATGCGACAACCGGCAAAAAAAGAGCTATCTTTCTAACTCATTGTGGACCAACCGTGTTTAAAATGGCAAAGTCGCTTGCCAAGCCAGCAGAGGTAAAAGAAATGGACTGGGACGTCCTCGAGCCGTTACTACGGGCTCACTACGCGCCCACCGTGCCAACCCTAGTAAGAAGACACGAATATTACCAGAGGGATCAACGGAAGGGCGAAAGCCTTGCCAATTACATCGCAGACCTCCGGAACCTAGGAGGCCTCTGCGGGTTCGCAGACTTAGAAGAAGCCCTCCGGGACCGCCTGGTTCTGGGCCTAGAAGACGGCGCTATCCAGAGCAAAATTATGGTTAAGGGGGACATCAGCCTCACCGATGCCCTTAAAGAAGCCTCGGCAGCGGAGGCGACAAAGAAGTCGGCAGCCCAAATGCGCCGCAACAACGCACCGCTACGTAAACTCGCCACTGATACCTCGCCTCGCTCAGAGAGACACCCGGTATCAACTCACCACGAAGACCTAGAGTCCCTGTCCGACAGCGATGAGGAAGAGGTCAACCGACTTCAAACGG